TCAAGACCCAAAGGCCAATGCTTTCAGCATCCTGCAAGTAAAATTGTGTGGCAATTCTTTGGTTTCAAAGTGTCTTCAGCTTTGAGCTTGGAAATCGATTTTTTATGTAAATAAAACAGAACAACAAAACAACAATGAACAACACTCTATCCCTCATGAAGCCGGGTGACTGCTGCTCTGCCGCTTGCTGGGCCTGCTGCCCCTGCTGTTGTTGTGCCTGCTGCTGCACCTGTAGCTGTAGCTGATGCACTTGCTGTTCAAGCAGCTGCTGGACCTGCTGTTGCTGGAATTGCTGCCTTTGATCCTGCCACCAATCACATGGAATTCAAATCAAACACCGCAGGTTTATGCCAAATCAAAGTTCTGAAAGGAAGTACCTCCAGTCCTTCCAAGGTAACAAGTACATACAAGTACAAGATAGTATAAGTATATACGCGGTCCTGTTGTATTTGCTGCCGCTGTTGATCGTGCATTTGTCGTCTCTCCGCAGCCAGCTCCGCCCGTAGTTGTTCCAGCAACGATCGCCTCAAAGTAAGTAAGATTCATGAAAGATTCATTACCGTAGAAACCAGTGAAGTCATCTGAAGTCAACATCCTACCGGAACCCGGTATCACATAGGATGGCATATGGATCATATGGTGATGTGATGTGATCGTCACCGATCACAACCATGGTCAATCACTGAGCTGGAGCACTGAGAGGGCTGTGGTGTCTCCACACTCTTCCCTGCATCTTTGAAAGGGAACAACTCAGACATGTAGGATCCTAACGGTGATTGGAGCAAGAAAATTTGCTGCCTTTTGAGGGCTTTTTGCCACAAAAACGGTACATATCTATTTTATTGAGGATCCACTTTTGCAAATACTGAAGCCGTGAGTCAAAGAAATGCTGAACACATGCATTGAGCTTTCCGCAGAAGAAGTGCATTTGAAATTGCAATAATTGGCAGGGTTCGCAGGGTCTCCCATCATTCAATATGTCATGACCTTTTCTTGGCATCAAGCACCTGCTGGTGATCAATCTGCCTTGACTAATCTGCTGCTGCAATTGCTGTAGCTGCTGCTGCATCAAATGCAGACCCTCTTGAAGTTGTTGCCTGACAGGCCAAGGAGACATCAGTGGCATAGTCCTTTGGCATTTGTTGACCCCAGCAAGGCCTCTCTCGCACATACTGTTCTTGCTGTTCTGCCCAGCTTTGGGGGCGTTCAAATAACTGGCGGAAGGCCATGGGCAGCACGGATGCTAGAGAGTCCTTGAAAGGAATCAGGCCAATCTATCATGCCATGCTTTGGAATCATTGAATTGTCAGCAAATGTGGATGGTCCGGATGGTTTGTTGGACTCCAAATCTGACCCACTTTGCGTCCTGCAACACCTGATCACTTCGCCGAGGTTCACGGCCTTGGTGATCACACTGCGAGCGGATGCATCCCAACCGACTCATGTCTAGGTGCCCGACTGGACCCCCAGCCCTCTGGTGGACCGCCACCGAAGTTGATGTTGACCTTGACAGTGACAACTCAATCGTGGCCACTGCCAGAAAGAAACATCTTTGAGAAGTAAAAATGGCAAGTTCTTCCCAGCAGTTCCATGTATCTTTGCAAGCCAGAACCTCACCCTGTAACAGCCTGTAACATCTTTCACCAGGCATCCCAGCCAAAGGCTTGTTCAAAAAATCTGGTGGCGCTGGCGGGGCCTGTGGTGAGGCCTCTGCCAGGTTTCAAGATCTGCAAAAACATCAATGAGGAGCCGGAGTTTCGCGCCTGCAGGTGTTCGGATGGAAATGGTAAAGGAGGAGGCGGTTCCAACTGCCTTGGCAACACATCCGATCATTAAAAAAAGAGGACTGGAAACTCTGCCAAAAGCATCCAAAAGCGCTTTAGTCTGTTAAAATTCGCCTAGGATGAACCCCCCCGGCCAGCAAAACAGCACCGTGCTGAAAAGAATGCGTACTAGTTGATGAAACTTGGAACCGTGCTGCTGTGCTACCTCCATCTTGTCTTTGGTATCCGCTGTATCATCTAGCAGAAGTTCTTTCTCATCCTCTTCAAGCGGTCCTTTTGGCATCAAACACGCTGGCAGCAGACTTCATAATATGCCAAATAACTCAATGATATCAATGATGCCGGCATTGATGCAGTCCAAAAGAATGCCGAGGCCTGGTGGCAGGGAAGTCAAAGGCCCATCCATCAAGGCAAACTGTTCTGGTCGATCATCGCTGAGGATTGCCTCAGCTGCAGTCACTCACGTCTCCCTTGTAGAAACAAGCTTGTAGCTGGCAGAACAACGAATCCTTTGACCCCGGCAGACAAATAATTCATAATCTCAGTGTTCTCTTGCTCTGCACGCCGCTTGGAGTCCTTTCAGCAGTTCGTTGTTTTATTTCACTTGCCATCACTCCAATCTTAGACAAGACTGAGCAAGTGCGCTCACTCTCACAGGCAAAGTCCTTGGCATCCTCGAGCTCTTGATACAAACTGGCCTTACACTTCCAAGTTGGATCAGCACGAACAAGCACAAAATAATGCAACAACTGTTGACATTTTTCAGGCTGTGATCTCAATCAAGTTCCCGCACAACTTGCGCTTGTAGCTTCCGTGGCAGCTGTCGGAAATCATCATGAATGGTTGAACCAGCCCCGCCTTACAGTCCGTTCCAGTCTGTGCTATCTGTGCAATCTGTGCTATCTGAAAATGGGACTTAGTCCAGGTCCATCTTTCCCACTCGGCTCATCTGCCTGAGATCACAGTTGCGCCACTGTCGACTCCTTAAGTCTCACATGCTGATCACTGTCGAATCAACAGACTGCACCTCACCATTGCGCAGGCAAATTTGGCTGAGCCTGACAAAAGAACTGTTCAACCCGTTCTTTGGCCAGGGTCTAGAGTCCAGAGTCTAGTGTATAAATACACTAGTCACTAGTCACTAGTTGCTAGATACAAAATCATTGAAAATCCACATCTGCCAGGCCTGTGCGGTGCAAAATTCACCTGGGGCTTGGCAGGCCTTGGTTTCCAAGCTCACTTCGCTCAGCATTTCGAAGCGGCGCCACCGGCATCCTGAGGTCCTGAGGTCCTGAGGTCCCAGCTCCAAGGACCGTGGCTGCGACAGCGGATGCGTCTCTGTCCTTCGATTCGTCTCATTTCATGATGGTCTTTGATGAAACATGGATGAAACACTGGATGTTGATTGGGAATGATTGGGAATGATTGGGATGTTGGTGATTCACAGGAGAAATCTCCAGCATCAAACAGCTGAGATTTTGATTCGAGCCCTTTGATGCAAACCAAACAGAGAAGATCGTCAAAAGGCTGGGCTTCTGACTGGAGCTGCTCCTTACACATGTCGCCAGCATCAACACAGCTCAAGCTTTCACCCAATGACTCGCCTACCCGCGATGTGAATCCTTGCTTATCTTGCTTGATTTGAAGGGATAGCATTCTGTTCGCCCAGTGCTACTTGTTGGCGAATTGCTTGGCACCAGGCCCGAATACCAGCGAAACTTGATCTCCGCCGCTCCTGACAATTGGACAGTACAAATTAGAAGGAAGATATAATATTTCAAATATATAATTATAGAAGACATGTGAAGACATGCTGCAGAAGGCTCTCACTGTCCTGCGGCGCTGGCACAAGCTCCTGTTATTGATAGAGCTGCTAAATCACTGAAACTCAGAGCGGCTATGGAACCATAGAGGCTTCTCGACATGCATTCACAATCTGCTAGGCAGAAAGCGAAGTGTGAAATGTGTTTCTTTGTATCCTTACAGACTGAGTTCGAAATTCTAATATTCCACTCTGTAGTGGCTTCAATATTGCAGCAACACTTGAACTTCACAGACGCAAAGTAGACAAATGCGGGTGCCATCGCACCTGACTTTCGGCAACTGGGGCCACTGTAGCCAGCCTACGGGCAGTTCCACAAATCTGCTGCACGACTTGGTCAGCCTAGTCGAAAGGTCGTCTGGCCTCGTTTCTGCCGGACCATGGCTGGTTGCCTCCCAGCAAAGCACAGTGACAACAGAAGGTTCTGCTTGGGCTGCCCGCACCTCTGATCCTCCAGTGACCTGTCGCACAGAAGACACCAGACTGGTCACCAAACCTCCATGACTTGTAATCCTCGACTTCACTGGGATGCGATGCCTCGAGGTCCGTTCGAGGCGTAAGAAGGGAGAGAGCCTCTGTTCTTGCAGACCTTAGTCAAGTTGTATCAAGCCTATGAGATCTTATGAGTAATAACAAATATAAAAATGTCAATTGAAGGATCCTTGCACTGCACCTCATGACTTCAATATCTGCCATTCTAGGTCGGGATTTACCACAGCCTGGCAAACTCGTCTCAATCCTGCTGTGTCCCGCACTCTGGTGCAGCACCTCAGAATTTGCATAAATCCAGGAAATCCTGAACATTGGATTCACTGGATCAATTACTGGATATTCAAGTTTTCAACACTTGAGTACGTGCAGCGCAAACATTGCCCATTTTGTTTGAGTTTGCAACTTCCCACGTCCTGCACCAGAGACTACACACTCTCTCACATTTGCCCCATCTTTCTGTTGGCCGAACTTGGAGGAGTTTTGAACCACTGATCTTTGAACCATTTTCTCTAACACTCACGAAACTGACTGCCAATCCGATTGCAAGCCGGAAATGATTCAATCGATCCATGGAAGCACAAAGCAACTGCTGTTCATCCAAGCCTGAACCGGAGATGCGTCAAATGGCAGCGCTACAATCGCCTGCCATATAAAGGACGTGTCCTTGGCTTCATCATGTCGGAGTACCACCATGGTAGGATGACAGGAGAGCCAACTTACCAACATGATGAAAGATAGCTGCCCCTAACGTTTGAGCTCAGCTGTCTCGACAGCAAACAGCCAACCACTGGGCCAAAACCGCCAACAGCATCTGGCCTCCTGGTCTTCTGAGGGACCTGAGGGCACTAGGCACAAAGTCCTAAACATTGTGAGGGGCACCCACATGGCATGTTTCAGTTTCTTCAGTAGGTGGAACAAACACAATTGAGCTCAAAACGTTGCACCGCGACATCATCTTGACTAAAGGTCAAGGTAGGCAATACTGTGTCTGAACCTGGGAAGATTGACTCTTTTGTCTGAAGCATTGAATCTGTCCTGCTGATATGTGCTTATTTTTTGAAACCGACAGCTACATATTTGACTATTTAAGAACGTTGATAGACCCCTCCACGCAGGCGCACACACGCAAGTAATCACTCGTCATCTCACTGGGTCATCCACTATCATAGCATATCATCGCCATAGCATAGCTGAGAACCAGCCGAGCTTTCGCAACTGCATGTCTTATGTGACGTGCAAAGTCTGAGAACACAACACGGTAGTGCCAGGCGCTGCGACTCCTTCCAGGTGTCTGAGAAAGACGGCGCCACTTGTTGTATAGCGGCTGTATTGGTTGATGCTGTTTCCTTTGCTTCACAAACAGCTTTGTTGAAACACAGCACATAGGCAAGTCCGTCCTCTTGAGACGTATTGGCTGTAGTGGACAGCATCGAGGGCAACTCCAGTGCCTTCTGGGCCTTAGAACATCTCTAAATCTTGAAAAGAAAACCAAGCACAATCAAAAAGAGCTTCTATGATGTCAACCATACAATTGTGCAGTTTCAGATCTTTGGTTGCAAACAGATGCACTTTCGCTGCCCCAGGCTTGCCTACAGTCAGTGTCACTGAATACTTTTGGTATTTTTTTTGGCAGTGCCTTGAGAGAGATACAACTTTATCCTTCCCTGGTCTAGGCTAGATTTGAGAACCTGAAGCTGTTCGGCAAAGTGCAATGTCAACTGCCTCTCTGGCGGATTTCCTCTTGCAGACCTAGCCCAGCTGTTGGAGGTCCTGTATCAACTCTTATATTAGGGGATTTCTTAAAATGGAGGATCCCCAAAATCATAGCTTTCAATCGGTTTCAATATACTGTAGATGTTTAGATGATTTGGGGTACCCTCTGGTAAATCAACATAGCTATGGAAAATCACCATTTTTAATGGGTAAATCCACTATAAATGGCCATTTTCCATAGCTATGTTTGACATAACCAGAGGGTACCCCAATTTCAGAAACCGTTCCACTGGAGCCAAACAAGTCTGCACCACGGGATCAAAGGCAATCCACCTGACCATCCCACGGCTGCTGATAACATTGGCAATGGATCCTACAAACCATCTGGTTGCCATGATGATCATGAAATATCATGAACATCATTACCAATCATGGTCCCCATGGTCATTGAATCATTGCACTCATTGCACTATCATTCCATCATATTCCTGACATTGAGTCAGGCCCACCTGATGGATCCTGTTGCTGTACCACCTCAGGCAAAACCGGCGGAGGAGGCACCTCGGTATAGCCGAGGTAGCCACCAGGTGGCGCGCTTGCGGCCATCACTGGCCGAGGATGTCTCTGAAGTTTCCTGTTTCATTCTGTTTCCATATTCTAAAGCATCTGGTCCGAACATATCCAAAGAGGTGCATTAGCTGCCTGGGGTAACCTACGGCGGGAATGACATCATCGCTGAACCAGTTCTCCGGTGGAGAGTACCTGGCAGTTGTCTGTCTCTGCGTTTGAAAGAATTTCTTCTTGACTGCTGTGAAGTCACTCTACGGCCATGCAGATGGTTTCATATAATCTGGGTGTCCCAAGCTTCATTTCACGCGAATCGTCTCTCACCTGGCAGGGCAGTATATCCTCTCGCATGGCGACAGAAGTCCAAGTCTGGAAGCGGATTTTGCAGCTCAAAGACCGGTGTGTTTTTGGAGATGACACACTTCATTGTGATAATTGCTCTACCGGGCACATTCTTGATCAGCTTTGCATTGTCAGCTTGCAAAACGATTTCCCAGCTGGCAACTGCCCATTCTCCCTGATCGGAGGACCGAAGACCGTTTAAGTTTGTAAATCTTACAAAACCTGTCTCCACGGCAAGACAGCAGGGCCTCGATTATCTGAAGTGCTGCAGGTTCCGCCTCTGAGACAGGCAGTGCAGCAAGCATCGAACCCCATCAATGTGTCAACAGGATTATCTGGTGTGTGTGTGTGTGAATGTTCAATGTTGTATATGTGTATGTGCATCTGTTTGTACATGTTTATATGTATTTTGATTTTATATACTCATATTACATGTTACATAGTCATGTTATTTTTATGTGTAGCATACAATATATGATATATACAGTATATATATATATGTGACTTTACTTCTGGATCTGTCGCACCTTGTCCTCTTCATTGTGCATCGGAATGACTTCATCTTCCAAAGCCATGTTCTCTGCATGCACAACATCACTGGGCTCCGCCTGTACAGGGATGAAAAAAAAACTACCTGTAGATACTACAGTGCTACTTTATGTTCTTTTGATTCTGAACTCCCCAAGTCTGCAAAACCAGAGATTGCGTGAGATTGCAGTAGCTGTACTTTCCAAGGTCTGTGATGACAACGCTGTCAAACAGTCACGGCAGAGCACTTTCCCCACCTGCCCCACCTCTTTCAGAATTCTTGGGGGCTCATCGTCTTGCTCTACTGGTTCCTCTGGCCTTTGGAACCACCTTGGTGCAAAAGCGCAGACCAAATTTTGCTTGGAGAATAACCCATAGGACCACTGGCCCATACTTGTGTAACTGGTGACAGCTAGAAACAAACCCCAGTCTGTTGCTGCAAATCGAACATGATGGAACTGCAAAACCTCGGGCTCACACGTTTTGTCGGCAGGCTCATCATCCTGTCAAAAAAGAGGCATGGAAAAGGTCCCTTCGTCAAGGCCAAAGTTGTGCGGCAAGGGAGATCGGGGAGATTTGATCGTCTTTGTATCTAGTGTTTGACATCAGCGTAGCTGCTACAGTAAAAGGTAGGCTTGGGACGGCTTGGGCTTCACAACATAGCTCAAAAGTTCGACAGAATCAGCATAGTCAAGCCTCTGAATCAGTGGCTTCAGTGATGATCACCGACTGCACTGCTGTGGCTTGTGCTTCAATTGGTTCTGTTCGTGGGAGTTCTGTCACCGGCACTGTGGGCTCTATGGGATCTGCAACCTCTATGACTCTCTGTGGTGTCACAGCTGGTGGCAGGGATTCAGCCATGGCAAATGCTGAAGTTTCCGTCGGAGCTTTGGGATCTATTGGAGCCATTGGATCCACTGAATCTAGTGGCAGATCGTCTTCAGGCAGCATCTCTTCAGTCATAGATTCAACTGTGTCCTCTATGGCCGGGGCTGCCATGGTTTCCACCAGCGCCGCCACTGCTGTGTCTTCTTTCACCATTTCAAGTCCGTCCCGTCTAGAATGCTGAACCTGGAGAACATGGATGATGCACGGGAGAAGATTCTCAATGAGCTGCAAAGGAACAATATGGAACAATGTTTATCTCAATCCTTCCCTGCCTTTGGAAGACAAATGTCTGGCCACGGTTCTGGAGGTGGCTGCAACAACCGGAGGCCGTGCAGGGCTTCGGCTGGGTCCTTCAGAGATACGCATGATACACCAAATAGGTAATGCCGCTTGCAGCAAAGTGTGTATTACTTGAGGCCGGGGATGACGAAAGCTAGCGGGGTAGGAGAAAGAAGGAAGGGAAGAGGTGAGTTGCGGAGGGACTGTCATCATCGTGTCGCGGCATTGTTCGTCCCAACGAGGATGCAACAATGATATATGATATATGATATATAACAATGATGTCCTTGGGGAGCCCCGGAATACTTGCTAAAGCAAGAAGACTCTAGCGAGCTGACGCTACCTTTCGTGATAATGCCAACAATTGCCAATAATGATGAAATGTAAGTGAATAACGATGATGATGATGATGATGACGACGATGACGATGACGATGACGAGGACGAGGACGATGACGATGACGATGACGAGGACGATGATGATGATGATGATGACGATGACGAGGACGATGGCGAGGACGATGGCAATGATGATGATGATGATGATGATGATGATGATGATGATGACGATGAGGATGACGATGACGATGATGATGATGATGATGACGTGATGGTGATGGTGATGGTGATGATGATGATGATGTGATGATGATGATGATGATGATGACGACGATGACGATGACGATGACGATGATGATGATGATGACGACGACGACGATGATGACGATGATGATGATGACGTGATGGTGATGTGATGTGGTGGTGATGTGGTGGTGATGTGATGGTGATGGTGATGGTTGGTGATGGTGGGTGGTGGTGTGGTGGTGTGGTGGTGGGGGGGGGAGGGGGGGGGGGAGGGGGGAAGAGGGGCCCTAGCGTCTACTTCAAGATCAGCTAAGGCGTCTTCCCCAATGACAGCACTTGTTTTACTCAGCCTGTTGCCGGTCTGTGCTTGTCTACAGGGTTACTCTATATACCTCTTGAGCCTTGAAGGGCGCATATAAATGTGCTCAATACTCATGCATGTACCTATGTAGGTATTAGGTCGAAACAAAAACACAGGCACAAATTCAAAAGCAATGAGTAGAGCACTACGCCTTGCCGTACCCAATTGGTATTAAGAGTATCTTCCTGACTTCTCTACACAATGGCAAATAGCAAAAGAAACCGGAGTTACGCAGTGGCTTCGAATTGAAAAACACGTGAAAGCAGCGAATGTCCTAAGGACATGTCGAAAAAGAACAGCGGATTCGCTAATTTTTCCAGTAGCGACCAATGGTGCTTCGCGCACGGTCTCTCCATAGGCAAAATGCCTTGCTCTACCGGTGAAAGTTCGAATTGAAAAGTTCGGGTTCGCAAGATTCAGAAATTCAGGTCATACGAAAAACAATTGACCAAATCACGAAATAAACGGAAATAGCGGATCTCCAAAGTTGCTCATTCAAGCAAACAATGGACTGAAATCGAAGTTGGTAATTTTTGGAGTTCGCTCCATTCGGAGTGGTCTGCTCGCCGGATGGTTCATGGAGATAAATGTATATAGTATCTCTATTTACAAGAGTCTCTATTTTACATTAAATTGAAGTTCAGACACTTGTGGCATTATCTCTATCTAAAAGAGTATATGCCATTTGTGTGAAATAAGTTGAACGCACAGAAAAACTGTACACGGCCTCTCATGCTGTGTTATCTTCATTTAAAGAAGTATACACTCACTCATAGCCAAAAGCTTGATCTCCATGGTCTGGACGAAGAAGATGAGGATCCACCCCACTCTGTGTTGCCCTGATACGTTGATGCTTGATCTTCATATGCCTTTCTCTTTTTCTCCTTCTGTCTTTCCTTTCTTGTATCAGCATACTGCTTCTTCTTGTAGGCCTGTTTGTAATGATGTCGTTCATTCCATGACATATCAGAAGGATCAAGATGGATAAGAATTGGATTATGAGCATCGCGATCATTTGGGGCAACCATGAAGATGTTGTGATCACCATGTAAGCAAGTTTCATTTACCTTGAAGTAAAATTCACCCACATAGTTCATGTGATCTTCATCCTCAAAGTCTTCTGGGTGTTCCTCACACATCAAACGTGAATGACCCCACTCAACAACTGTTAACATACAACAATCACCTTTACCATTTGTCTTGTTCATGAGCTCGTCGGTGTATGTTGCTGTTGTAATGCCATCCAAGTGCGTTGCAAGAAAATCCAAGTCACGATAACTGCAAGAAATGAAATGCTTGACCCTGATTGGAGGGCAAGATGAATCAAAATACTTGCGCATGGCTTGTGTTGCAACACCTACCATTCTGTTGATCCAGAATTGGATAAGGCTGTGTTGGTATGTAGGGACACCTGGAGATTTTGGTGTGCTGTAATAGCATGCCTTGTTTCCATCACCTGCGATGAAGTCAACTTGATATCTGGCACACTCAAAAGCCATAACAGCTAAGCACTCACCAACAATCCCAGCAGAGTCTGATGCATACTTCTGTCCGACGTGATAAACGCACACACGTGTCATTCTCATCCTAGCTCTTGTCAAGTCAACAATCTCATCTGTATCTCGATCCTTTGTCTTTCCCCAAGATACTTCAAAGATTGCCCATGAGACTTGTCGAACTCGTGTGTCGTTGTCATCTGTGTGATATCCAGCAATTTGCTTGATATAGCCATCCTTTCCAAGGCGAGCTGCCACCATCAAGTCATGATAGTCATTGAAGCAAGTTTTAAAGTCAACCTCGTTGAGTCTTTCTCTGTGAGGATACAATGAACCAGCCTCGCAATTCATGAAAAGATGTCCTCCAAAGTTCTTGATGACATTGATGAAGTAATTGTTGAACTGTGATTTGTTTTCATCAAATTTTTCATGATCCTCATCGATGGTGTAGTCAATGTGTGGAATGAATTGTTGAAATCTTTCTGGAACCGGGCATTTTTCAAATCTGTTTCTGCACCAGTTTCCCAAATTCCAAAACATTGCTGTTATCTGTGGAGAGGATCTGTATGGAAATTCAGCATCCTTGTACGTTGGGTCTGATAGGCCTCCACCTAAATACCTGTAAGCCAAGCTATGCAAGATCATACAGTAGGGCAAGACCTTGTGGTCCTCAACGTAATCTTGGAGTACCCTTGTGAGATTTCCAAAATCGTCATCAATCCTCTTTTCTGCTTCTTTTGAGGATCTTTCTGCTTTGTCTTGATGAAGAGGATGCATCCTAGGATCACTACAACCATATTCAATGCGCTGATTGAGTTCTTGTAATTCTAGTTGTGGATTTTGATCCTTGTGTCTGGCAATGTACTCAACCATCAACTGGTCATCTGTAAGATGGTACCAATAATCTTGATGTGGAGACATGGTCTTCCTGTACTTGACATGCCAAAACATGTGTCGATGCTTCGAAGACGCTGGATAACCTTTGTTGTAAAATCCTGCCCATTCACCATGGTAATCATCTGAAAAACAATCCTTCAATTTTCGAAAAACTGAATCATCTTCGTTTCCAGTTATATCTTGACCATAGTAAAGTCGAATTGCAGGTTTCACTTCAGGAGCTGTCTCATCATCTTGAATGTCTGTTTTCTTCTCCCCTGATTCCTCCTTTTCTGAGGAGCGTTCAGGTGGAGCTGATTCCTCCTTCTCTGAAGAGCCTTCAGCTGGGACATGTGGCTCCTGTGTGTCTTTTTCTTCTTCTTTTTCTTCGACAGCAATCTCCTCTTCTTCATCCTCTTCTTTCTCTTGTCGTTCTTCTGGTTTGACAAAACTGTCCTTGATCTTTTGTTGAACATTCTGATTGCACATACTGATCCATTTCAATGTACACTCAACCAATTTGTCATCATCAGTTTCCAAAACGATATGCTTGTCCTCAATGTTCAAACTTTCAATAGTATGTTTGTACTCAGGATCACCTGCGCCTGGTCTTTGAAGATCTGGAAGAGGAGTGTCTGGATCATCGTCCACCAAATCAGGATCCTCTGCTCCAAAGAAATTTTCTGCGCCAAGGTGTTCATTCTCCCTGAGAACTTGGTCAATATCCAGTTTGAACTCATGATACATGTCGTAACAGATCTCATAACCCATCATAGGTGCATACTGCTCCATAAATGTTGAAAAGGAAGCATCTGATAATGCCGACATCATCAGCCATAATGAGAAGAAGCTTATGTCACCACGTTCAAGGGGTTGACCTCCTTCAAGATCATCTCCTGTGAGGATTGATTGGCCTGCAAGTGTAATATCCTGTAGGATCCTCCTGTGCTCTGGTTTGAGTTGCCTGACTAAAAACAGTCCCTGTCGATCTTCCATATTTCTTCGAGGATTTGCATCTGGTAATACCTCATCTTCTTGTTGTGGTTGTGTTTCCTCTCTTTCTTGAGAGCATACACCTTCTTCCTCTCTTTCCTGAGAGCCTGATGCCTTTTCCTCCTCTTTCCTGACAAAAACTTGTAGTCTTGGCAAAAACTCCAAATCATCTTCAGCATCATCATCATCGTGATCTTCCATGTCCACATTCTGTTGCTCTGATTCTGGGATGTGAGCAATCTTGTCCTTTCCAGCTACCCAGATGTAGCCATCGAGCTTTGTAGATGTGTGGAAGTCACCTGAACCGCATTCCCTGACCTTTGTCCTTGCTCTTGCAGATTGATGGAATGCTTCATGCTGAAAGAATTGATTGTAGGCATGTTCAACAAAGAATCTGTAGGATTGAGCTGTCAATTCCTTTCTGCTATCCACAAATTGTCGAAGCTTGTTCAGAGCAAAAACTGTGAAATGGCTGAAGCTAGCAGGTGCTTCATCTTCATACAGATCGATTGCCATGATCATCATTTTTGTGGAAAACGAGAAATGCCGTTCAGGTTCAGGGATGACTGTTTTCTTGTTCATGGGAACTGTAATTCCTTGGATAGTCATGTCATACCCATGTGTGTTCAACTCCAGTGCATCCAAAATGTTACCATCACGGTCCTTCTTTCTCTTGCAGAAATCTCCCCAGAGTTTGTTGTTCTCTCTAATGAACTGATCAAGATGCTTGGTGTAAAAGACAAAGACTGCTTCTGAGAGAT